CCATGTTATGTCCCAGAACACCCTGTCCCCAACACATGCCCGCTGACATCAGAACAGTCGCTCCTTAACCGGGAAAAGCCTCCACCCCAAGAATGCTGCTGAGCCAATAGGGGGCAAATATAGGGGGGTGGGACCTAGGCTGGCAGTCCCTGACCTGCCTCTTGTCTAAATCCTGTTGGGAAAACCCTCCAAGCAGGCTGCGTGTTTTCTGAGACCACGCTAATACAGGAAGAAGCAAATATGGATTCTTACGCTTTGGAAGCCTCAAACACTGTTCAGACCTCTTTTGGCGGCACTATGGGTGAGATTTCAGTGGTTGAGACAGATTCATGGACTCCCAAAACAGATTCGGGGACCATGGCGGACCCCCAACAAACGGCATCAGAGCCACAGGCAGAGAGCCTGGGGGTGGCAGACAACCTAAACCCCAAAGACTCTGCTGAGGTAAGTAGCCTAGAATTATTTTGGAGGGGGACGGCTTTCTACGGTAACAGGGTGGATCTGTGTTAAATCTTTCGGCTCTTTGCAGGGAACAAGCATGTTTTCTTACACTACACCAGTAAGGCCCCTTGTTTCTGCCTTACCACGAAGGCCGTATAGATGTCTGCCAAGAAAACGCTACCGTAGCGACAGTTCTGAAGAGGGGGAGATTAAGGAGAGTAGCCCCCTAATCCTACCATTTCCTGAGATGTTTGGTGGCCAAGGGCCCAGAGCAGCTGTTGATGATTCTGGAGAAGAGAATCTCATTTTGGATTCTGAGAGAGCAGAAGATGTCTCTGTTGGGGAAGAGCCACTGGTAAGTATTTTGAACTTGAAGAGGAGCTGGTGTGTGTGTGTGTGGGGGGGGGGGGGGGGAGGGGTATTGTTGGCAGGAAGGTGGGGGCAGAAATTGACTATCAGCTCCTTAAATGGTGGGTAACCAGAGTTTCTTCTTTAAATTTCCTCTGCAGCTTGATGAAGCCTTTCTCATGACACCAGAAGGACAATGTAGCAGCAGCTCTATAACCTTGGTACTTGGAAAGAAAAGCTGCTTTTGTGACAATCAGAGTCCTGGTGCTTCAGAAGAAGAGGGTGCTGTGGCCTTTAGAAGACAACTAGGAATTGAACGAACTGGACCTGTCTCACCAAGGAGTCGTAGAAGGCTCATGAAATCTCTTGTACGTGTTTGTTGTTATGGCATACTGAAATATTGTTTGAGAGAGAGACTTTTTGAAACCTGTAGGGGTTGCCTTCTAAATGCACCAGGTCAAGGAAGCCACGAATGTCTGGACAGGACAGATGAGGACATAAACCAGACAATTCGGCAACTTTGTATTGATCTGTGTATGGAGAGTATTCTAAATGCTGTAATGGCATTAGGGTACTCTATGGATTGTCTATGCCTCACTGAGAAACATTTAGCTCAGGGCGTGGCAATTATAAACCATATTTATCTAGCTGGAGACCCACATGCTGCTTTACATGATGTTATTCATGAGGAGGATAAACCTCTGGTACCCTACATTGAACATTTAATTGGAACAAGAAATTTATAAATTCCTGCTCCAGAGGAATTTTGGAAAAAAAGGAATAAAAATTGTAAAAGGTATAAATTTTCTACAGAGACTGATGGAAATAAAAACTTATTAAAAACACATTCTTACAGATGTCATTCTTTAAGGGAGGGCATAGAGGGTTTTTGGTTATAAGGGTCACAGCTAAGGACTTTCATAGATGTTAGGGTCAGAAGGGACCTCAATAGATTATCAAGTCCGACCCCCTGCATAGGCAGGGAAAAGCGCGGGGTGTAGGTGGTCGC